CTGGGCGACCCAGCCTGGAGTCTTGGCTGTCCCTGGGCCTGGAGTGGAGCACCCTCCCCCCATCCCACTCCCCCTGGGACTTACCTGGATGACGATCACGCCAACGGTGGATCTTCCCACCCCGAACTGGTGTGCCACCGAGCGGTAGCTGTCCAGTGTGGCCAGCTTCCACAGCGCGATGGCGACCCTCTTGTTCACGGGGATGGGTGCCCGCAGCCGAGTGGTGGCTCTCTGCAGCGCGGGGGTGAGCCAGGTGCACAGCTGCTGGAAGGTCCGCTTTCTCATCCGGAAATTCCGGAGCCATTGCTGGTCGTCCCATAGTCCGAGGACCACCCGGTCCCACCAGTCGGTGCTGCTGTCCAAACTCCAGACTGGCCTCACCACAGTGGGGTGCTGATGCCACACAACCGCCATGGCCTTCCTGGTGAGGGAGTCCAATGCGATCTCTGCCTCCTGGTTCATGAACAGCAGGGTACCGGCCTGCAGAATGAGCTGCAGGCACTTGTACAGCCCCAACAGGGGCCCGAGCAGGCACATGGCCACCCACGGCTCCATGGCAGACAGAGCAGGGCAGAAAAAACAAAACACAGGGAAAAGCAGTTGGGGGCCAAAGGGTGGTGTCTCCAAAACTCAGAGGGCAACCACCAAACCTGCTAAGGGTGTCAGTTCCTGGCAGAGGCCCCAAGGCACGGGAGCAGGAGACCAATGGCTGTCCGGCGAGACCCCTTTAAGCACGTGTCTGAACGGCGCTCCGGCCCCGCCCCCGGAAAGGTCTGGTGGCCTTTTGCCCTCTTCAAAATGGTTCCGGGCTTCTGCTTTTCCGGAAAAGCGCACCGCCAATGTAGACGCGCTTTCCGGAAAAGCGCATCGTTATAACAATAACTCCGGGACCAATGTAGACGTGCTTTTTCCGGAAATACTTATAACGGAAAACTGTTCCATTTTAAGCATTTCCGGAAAAGGGTGCCAGTGTAGACGTAGCCTTAGTCTATAAGGTGCCACAGGACTTCTCGTTGTTCTTCCTGCATCAAAGTAGCATATGAAATAGAGTGAACAATGCCCCCCTCAAAGGGGAGAAAGTCATTCTATAAGGGCACAGGCTATACTGCCAATATTTAAATGTTGTATCAGTATTGGACATGTGAAGGGCCGCCACTTTGTTATCTATATATACATTTACCAAGCATTATGTCATTACTGCAGCATCCAGAGCAGATGTGACTTTTGGTAGAACAGTTCTGCAGTCCTCCTTTAAATAGTCTCTGAGCCCCGTCTCCTGTTTGTGAGTCACCTACGTGGAATACGTGACTATATCTACAAAGAGAAAAAGAAACAGTTATTTACCGTAACTATGACTGTTGAACAAATGTCGTAGATGTGTATTCCACAACCCTGCCTCCAAGCCATCTGCATCAGAGTCTATACTCTTGAAATTTGGTGCAAAGGAACTGAAGGGGCTGGGACTTGCTGTCTTATATAGCCAGGGGAAGAGCTGTGGCCACAAGGCACAAGCACTGCCTTTCTCTAGGTACTGCTAGGCAAAATATTCTGGCTCCAATATATTGGACACATGCACACCTAAGTGGAATTCATGTCTGCGTCACCATATCAAAGAACCACAGTTACAGTAAAAACAACAACAACAACATTTCGTCCAATGTTTTTTTACTTTCAGAGGTGTTGAACATTTGCAATTTCCATTGACTTTACCCAGAGTTATAGTACTCAGCTCTTCTGGAAACCAGGCCCTCCATGTTTAGCTCAAATAATTCATTATGCACTTCAGTACATATGGAATGTTGCTATTGACCTTGGATATATTCATTGCCTCCTTTGCTGAGTCTTTTCCTCACTAGTATTTATGCTCTAATACATTCCAGTTCTTTAAGATTATACCATTACAACTTAGGTAGACAAGCAATTGTAATTTTATTGTCATAGGCTATGGCAGTGGTCTCCAACCTTTTTACACCCAAGATCACTTTTTAAGTCTCAGAACAGGCGAAGATCTACTGCCCCGCCCCTTCCTTGAAGCCCCGCCTACATTACATGAGGAAATCTAATGTAAATGTACTGCACAGGTGCGCAGTTCAGAGAGGGCTGAAGAGCTACTCTTAGAGCCCCTGAGATCTACCGGTAGATCGCGATCTACTGGTTGGTGACCACGGGGCTATGGAATTCATTCCTCCTATTGACTATTCTACCCACTCTTAAACAACATAGGATAATGAGGCAAATTCTCTTCTGGTGTAACAAACAGGGAATTGAGTCTGATATTTTCGCCAGTGTCAGCCCCATATTGAAAATCTTTCCCCATAATCTTATTTCGATATACGATTCTCTCAATTTGTCTGTTTTCTTTAGTTGGTTTTATTATATTGCTGTGTGCATGTAATTATTGTGAATGATTAAGCAGTGCCATAAGCACCATGGCATGATTGGTGGGTCTAAAATTATGGGGAATCTCCACTTATTCTGTGAATCCACCATAAAGAACCATTATCTCAGTTCTCATTAAATGATATATTATGTTGAAGAAAAATGTGTCTATCAAACCTGCAGCTATAATCATTTGGTATTGTTAAGTATAGACCTTTGGTAAAACTCATGCCTATATGGAGATATATCTCAGGCCTATTCACCACTTAGATCCGACTGATCTTGTGCTGCCTTTCTAAACATGGGTGAATTTCATTCCTTGAGAATATTCACCTGTTACATAGTAAAAGAGTAGATGCACCAAGCTATTGCCTACAGCAGTGTTTTCGCTAAGCTGCGCAGCAGCACAGCTTCACAGGTGATTAATCAGCCCCGCCCAGTCAGAGCTGAGTTGACCAATTGTACAGGGCTGATTAATCACCTGTGAAGCTGTGCTGTGGCCTATAGTAGTTAATTGTTATAGTTTGTTGTAGTCCTTCCCCAAGGGGGAGGACTTCCTCGCTGGGTGTCTCCATCTAACCTGCACCCCCAGCTAGTGGTAGACAGCAGTCTTTTTTTCACGGTCCTTTTCGCTAGTGCATGGCCCCTCGAGCGCCAAGAGGGAAGGGAGACCTGGGCCAGGTCTCAGCCCAGGACCCTAAGAACAGGCACAACGGCAACCTGTTCGGTTGGTGGGGCCGTACTGCAACTCACCGACCCGCGGGCTTTGACTCTGTCCTGTTCTGGGCTGCTTCCTTTCCGCTTGTCGGCTTTACCGCCTCCGCCATGACTTTCATCCCGCCACTGGTCTCTCTCTCCTTCCTCGCCGGTGCTGCTCCCCTCCTCATCCAGCTCATCTCCTCTCTCCTTCTCTGCCCAGGCACCCTGCTTTTCAAAGCCAGCACCCTCTCCCTGGGACGCCGGCGCATGTGCTGTCCCAGCGTGGCGGCCCCCGGAATCCCCATGCATGCGTATGCCACGGCTGCCGAGCATACCCGGCACTCCCACGGCGCTGGGGCCAAGCGCTGTTTTGGTGCGGGGTGCGCAGCTTTCCCAGTCAAACCCCTCCACCCCATCACAGCACCAAAAAAATGAAAAGGCTATAGGCTAAAAACTCTTAAAATCCAGTATTGCAAAATATTAAGATAACCCAATTACCTTAAAAAAAGAAAGTAACTGCAGAGAATGGAATGCAAATTTGATTTATAGTATAAAAAACCTTTTTGAAACATATTAAGTAATTTAGCAAGTATAAAGTTTAGACTCCTACTGCCCAACAAAATTATGAAAAACTTTTAAAATAATTACTTCCATTACTGTTTGAGTAATAACCTTTCTTCATATATTTGTTTATTCCATAAGGCCTTTGACATACAGTTGAGAATACTGAAGCGTATCCCTCTGGAACAACCTGAATTGATCCCTTCTCAGAAACAGTTGACATCACTGATCTGTGTACAGTTTGCTGAGGAATACCTAATTGAGAAAGACTATGTACAAGCTGTGAAGTGGTATAAAGATGCACTATCTTATACTCAGACAGATAGTAAAGTAAGCATTGCCTCAAATCCAACAAAATTCAACAATACTTTAAGTGCACATTAAGTTGGAAAAATTGTTATGTTAGCCATTTTTGTTGTTTATGGGGTATATTTGAATATATATTTGAGCATATACAAATACCAAGAGTAAATCCTTAATTTTTTCATTTCAGCAGAACAGCAGCCAAAAAAAATATACATGCAATAAGAAATTATTGGTCCAGGCTTTTACTAGCACTTTTTCATTTTATTTTATAAAATTCATTGTTACAAAAAAAGGTCATATGTATAATTAAAAAAATCCAAAGCAGTGGTGTTAGAAATTAAATACCAACCACCAACTCCAGGAAAAAAAAACCTTTCCTATGATATATTTTTCTTTAACATGTATTTCTGTTAACAACAAAGAAAGGGCCTAGTCATAAAAGGTTTACATGTACAAAACTCCCTTTGCATTTTTGAGGGTTAGATCCACTAAGCAATGCAACATGGTCTTGAATATTGTTGATGAATTCTGTCTGTGCAGACAGAACATTAATTGAAGTCCATTGGAAGTTTGCTGAGTTAGATGCCTATGTTCTCTTTCTCCAAGAAGGTGCAGTTTTGAGCATAACTTTGTCATGCTGTACACTCTCAACTTCATAGATTTCAGGGCCAGAATGGACTACTGTGGTCATCTAATCTGACTTCCTCTATTACATAGGCCAGAGCTTCCCCAAAATAATTCTTATGGCACATCTTTTGAATTTCATTCAATGAGTGGTCTGAGATAAATAGAATGAAATTCAGTAAGGAGAAATGCAAAGTACTCCGCTTTAGGAAGGAAATAGATGTCTAGGAAGGAGTACTGCAGAAAGGGATCTAGGGGTTATGATGGATCACAGGCTAAATATGAGTCAGCAGTGTGACAGTGTTAAAAAAAAAAAGCAAATGCCATTATGGGATGCATTAATCTTTTCTTTGTCACCCCTTTAACTGTCTTCATTGGGAGCTAATGTCATTCGGGCATGTCATAAGATCAAGCATCTGCAACTTCCATTTAAATGAGAACAACATTAACATATGCATATCACACTAATTTCCAAAGATAATATGGCATGTACCATGGCTTTTCAGGAGCTGTTTAGCCCCACATCAACTGGAGCTGTTTATTTATAATGCTATCCCTATAACTTGGGACAATTTAAAACTAGGCAAGAAAAAGCACTGAAGAACATACTTGTAGATGGAGTATTCTGCTTTCTAAAGGAAGATGACGTAAATGTAATTGTGGGACAAATTTATTCTTAATGTCACTTCATTGAAATCTTGTCCATCTCTAACCTCTGAGATAGGATTCTGAATCAAGAAAGAAAAAAATTACTCTCAATATAAATTACATTGATCATCAAAATGTTTGCTTTCTTTAATTATTAATCCTTATTCTCTCAGGTATTATTGCAATTGGCTCGTCTTTATTTGACGCAAGGAGATATTGATGCATGTGAACATCATTGTGCTCTGCTTCTTCAAGATGACAATTGCAATGAAATTGCAACAATGGTATAAATGGTTAATATTTAATTATCTATAGCCCAGTGTTTAGGCTATTCTAATCATATTCTTTGTGTACTGGCATACTATGTCTTGTACCCAAGTAGCTATGCTGCAATTGATAACAAAATAGGTTGCATCTACTAAAAAAACTTTTCCCATGAAGAATCAGAGGAAAGAGAGGTAAGGGGAAAGTGAAAGACAAATGTATACATCCCAAAAAGCAATCTGCATAAGAGCAGAAAAAATATAAAGTATATACTTACCTATGAATAATGGGCAAGTGTTTGCTTTTTGAGGGTAATCATGTTCGTCTATCAATTTATTTTAAGAGGGATAAGGGATCTTTATCCCTTATTTTAAGAGGGATAAGGGATCTTTCAGAAAAGGCTTTATTTTCCGAAAGATCCGCATCTAGACTGGTGCTTTTTTCCGGCAAAGCTCCTAGCTGAAAAAAAGCGGCAGCCATTTTTATGCTAATGAAGCAGGGGAGATTTAAATCCCCGCTTAATTATCAATTGCGATACATCTAATTTGCATCCCTTTTACGAAAAAGGGATGCAATCTAGACGTAGCCTATTACTGAAGTCCTATGTTTCAGCCATGTAATAGGTTAATTGGTGCAACAGCTACTAGTACCAGGAATAACTTGCTTGAACTATTTGGTCTTAACACAGGCACTGATCCCATAAACAAATACACATGTGAGAAACCTTAAAGGAAGTTTCTTTGAGTTAAACAAGCAAGGGGTGAACTCTATGGTAAATTTCAAAGCTGCAGAATTATAGAATACACAGGGCTCTTGAAGTACAAATGAGAGAACTGGGCCTAAATCCAGCAAGAGGCAACAACATCTGGTCTTTAAAATAAATTATCCATCAGAATAGTGCATAGTTGTTTTATTGCATATTTCATATTTTCATCTGGAATATTGTTTAATGCTAGTTCATGCTTAGTTATTTCTTAAATATAGTGGGTTGGTGTGTTTTTTTGGTTGTCAAGAATATTTCAGCATAACTTTTACATTTCGGTTCTTTTCAAGGAATTGAACTCAGTCACTTTTAATGCGTTTTTTCCCCCTCTATTAGATGATGGCAGACCTTATGTTTAGAAAACAGAAGTATGAACAAGCTATAAATCTTTACCAAAATGTTCTGGATAAAGCACCAGGTATCGCCTATTAAATAAGGTGGAGGTTTTTCAGATTCACACTAATTTTAAAAGACTAATTAATGAAAATATGTGACAACTCTGTTGTCTTAATTTAATGAACAAGACTTCCAAGTAGCATGTTCTGTCATTTTAGATAACTTCTCAGTCATGGAAAGGTTAACTGATTTGCTAAGAAGAAGTGGTAAACTTGATAAAGCTACATATTTCTTTGAAATGGCTAAGAAAAAATCAACTCGAGTACCTTTGGAGCCTGGTTATAACTACTGCAAAGGACTTTACTGCTGGTAATTTGTGTTGTCATCTTTATCAATGTTATAAATACCATGATATGTAAGGCTATGCGATTCCTGTGTAGCCTGTGTGTGCTATTTCAGGTTTATTTTGCGAAGTGAGCACTGCAATTTGGTTTGCAAGAACTGAAAGTAAACCAGTACCTTCAGGTTTGCTGGGAAGTTAAATTTCTAGTACAAATTTGATTTTCTACTGGACTTAAAGCTTTTTGTGGGAGAGGACAATGTTGAAATAGAGAAAAGAAAACCTTAGGGTTAAGGTTAAGGGGAATATAGGGAAGTAATGGGTGGTTTGTAAGAGCCTGAATAGAATAGAACTAATAATAGAATAGAATAAACTTGGTTGACTTGAATGTATCAAACTTCAGAAATCTCAATACAAGAGAACGGAAGTTTGATTTCAGATGGCTCTAAAACCAAGGAGTGAAATCTAACCCCTTTGAAGTCAATGGCAAAAGTCCCATAGACTTCCGAGAGGCCAGGATCTACCCAGCATATTTGGATATAATATATTAAACTTCTATGTTATGAGGGTCAAATGATGGAGAATAGTTTCTGCTTTATATAACACCTTTTCACTTGGGGATCTCAAAACATTTTCCAAACAGGTGAGCCCCACAGTCAAAGCAGCAGGTAGCCTATCTTAATGAAACCTTGACGTCTGGCTGTGTTTGAAAATATGACTCTAAACATGGCATTGCAAGGTTACATACATACTTTGTTTCAGTGATTCACGTGTCAAACTAGGACAAGTCAAAAGATGCTTTTCTATTAAACTATTATCTCTGTGCACTTAATCTGAGATCTAACCAATTAAGCTGGTTTCTTTCCTTCCTATGAATAATAAAGATATACCCAAATTATACCCTCAGTAATATCTGTGCACTCTGATTAGCAGAAGATGATTCCGGGGGTGAAATTGATTGGAACTTAACACATGAATTTATTGATGAAGCACTAATTGGAATACAATGCATAGCTCTCATAGGGTGCATCTACACAGCACCCTAAACTCGAAATAAGCACCCTAAACACTATGCAAATTGTGTATCTTATCTTTAATCCATTTTGAAATTTGGCATGTCTACACAGTGCCAAATTTTGAAATAGTGTGTTATTTCGAGCCATCCCTTATCCCTCATGAAACGAGGTTTACCAGGATGGTGAAATAATGCAGTGTAGACGTATCCTTAGTCTTTGCTGTGATGGCTTTGCAGTGCTAAAAGGAAAAAAAAGCAGTAAACGTACTTATTCTGTAGATATCCTCTGTGCAGGGTTTTCAGATCCAGGGTCTTGGCTTCTTAACATGATTCTTCTGGAACTTACATACTTCTCAAGATTTTTTTGACCATCATGGTCAACAGTAAGAGGATAGGGCATGAGTCAGGCCCCCTACTAACCGTTGTGTACTACTACAACCCAAATATAAATGCTGCATGCCAATTCTACCAATCATTTCCCTCTTTATTTCAGGGGGTTGTATTTTTAAATTTATTCTGTATAGATTTGTATTCCACTCTCTTTATGGTAGTATCTGACTACTTTCTAGTCCTTCAGAAACAATTTGACTAACATCTATCATGTATGGCCCATTCTTTCCTTGTGGGGAGAATTGTGTGCTCAGCAGGTTGTTATGTTTTGCTAGGATTTTGTTTCATGTATTTTTGTTAATTTTTTAAGTGTACATAATCTATGTTCATTTCCAACGTCTAGCTTTCCAAGATTCCAGCAGTGCTCACTAAGGCCCCAATTCAGGAAAGCATACATGCCTATTCAGGGAAGCATTTAAACTTATACTTAAATGCCACTGAAGTCAATTAAACTAAATACATGCTTAAAGTTAAATATATACTTAAGTGGTTTCCTGAAAATGAATGAATTTAAGCATATTATTAAGTGCTTTCTTGAACTGAAGCTTTAGTATTTTTTAATTTCCCTTTCCTTTTTCTTCATGTTAGGCCTAGTATGGTTGCTATACAGGCAGTCCCCGACTTACGCGGATCCGACTTATGTCGGATTGCTACCTGCGAGCTCTGGGGCGAGAAAGCCCCGTTCGTAAGCTGCTCCGGTGCCCCTGGTCTGCTGGAGACCGTCTCCAGCAGACCAGGGGCACCGGGCGGGTTCCCGCGCTTCTGAGGCTTTGTCTTAGGGTGTGTCTAGACTACAGAGTTTTGTCAACAAAAGTGGACTTTTGTCAACAAAACTATACCTGCGTCTACACTACCGCTGAGTTTTGTTGACATAACGTCGACAGAACTCAGCAGTTTTGTCGATGCTGGTAAACCTCATTTTACGAGGCATAACGATGCCCCAGAGGAAATTAACAGAACAGTTAATCATTTAATTATCTATCCCTTGTCTCCCATTCTCAGCCCTGACAAATAGAGGCTAGGGGCACCATCCCTTTCCATTCTGGATAATAGCTATTGTCGGACCTATCTTCCATGAATTTATCTAGTTCTTTTTTAACACCATTTAAGGCTTGTCCTTCACAATATCCTCTGGCAGGGAGTTCCACAAGGTGATTGTGCATTATGTGAAGAAATACATCCTTTGTTTGTTTAAAACCTGCTGCCTATTCATTTCATTTGGTAAGATTAGGTTCTTGTGTTATGGGAAGGACTTTTCCTTACAGGCAGTCCCCGGGTTACGTACAAGATAGGGACTGTAGGTTTGTTCTTAAGTTGAATCTGTATGTAAGTCGGAACTGGCGTCCAGATTCGGCCGCTGCTGAAGCTGATCAGTTTCAACAGTGGGTGAATCTTGACGCCAGTTCTGACTTACATACAGATTCAACTTAAGAACAAACCTACAGTCCCTATCTTGTACGTAACCCGGGGACTGCCTGTATAACCTTTGCTGGATTTCGGTAATATTAGCAAACAATAGAACCACAGCCAAATTTAAACTATTTAGTCTTTATACCATTTTATATTTTTCTAGCTTTCTATCTAATTTGATTTTGTATTAATATATCAGAGATGACAAATAGATACAGGAAAATGGGAATATCATCTAAAGAATAATAAATAATCATACGAAGCAGTATATACTACAGTCAAAGAATCAATGCATAAAAGAACATCAGTATAATATAAAATATTCCAAACAAGCATCTGAGGCAGATTGTGCACTTTTTTTTATTCCTCTGTATAATAGATTCCAACTTTATAAATATTACAAGATTTTTCCATATTGACAAAATCTTTTTCATTAGTTCTTTATGTATATAAATATGAAAATATTATGAAAATTGATGATCACCCTACACTCCTTTTGCAACTGCATATTACATATTCTCTCCACACAGGTACATGGGACAGCCCAATCAGGCTCTCAAGTATTTCAACAAAGCTCGAAAGGATAGTGACTGGGGCCAGAAAGCCATCAGCAATATGATTCAGATCTGCTTAAATCCTGATAATGAGATAATAGGAGGAGAAGTGTTTGAAAGCCTCAGTGAAGAGTACAGGTAAAAGAGAAACCCGACTTTTATGGAAACTATTTGTAATTGAGAAACGTAATGGAATACCAAATTCACTTTCATTATATGTCTAAGATTAACGTAAAGCTCTGGTCATTTCTTTCTCCACTCCATGGCTGTCTACACATTGGCACCCTTTTCCGGAAAAGGGATGCTAATGAGACAAGTCGGAATTGCAAATGCCGCGGGGGATTTAAATATCAACCGCGGCATTTGCATGAACATGGCTGCCGCTTTTTTCCGGCTCGGGGCTTTGCCGGAGAAAAGCGCCAGTCTAGACGTGCTTTTCTCCGGCAAAGCCCCGAGCCGGAAAAAAGCGGCAGTCATGTCCATGCAAATGCCGCGGGGGATATTTAAATCCCCCGTGGCATTTGCAATTCCGACTTGTCTCATTAGCATCCCTTTTCCGGAAAAGGGTGCCAATGTAGACACAGCCAAAGTGTAAAAGGGAGGCAAAGCAAAGGGTTATAGTTTAGCTGAGCCCTCTATGATGTATTCACTAAGGGTATGTCTAGACTACATGGCTCCATCGATGGAGCCATGTAAACTAGTTTACCCGGCATAGGCAAAGAAGCAGCTATTTAATTAATCCCTGTTTCATTAAAATAAACATGGTCGCCATGCAGTGCCAACGATCAGCTGATCAGTCTACACGCGGATCTATTGGCTGGGGAAGCCTTTGCTGACCGATCCCTTATGCCTCATGAAACGAGGTATACAGAATCGGTCGGCAAAGGCTTCCCCAGCCGACAGAGCTTTGGAATCTTGGTTTCTACGTGGTTTCACGAGGCATAAGGGATCGGTCGGCAAAGGCTTCCACAGCCGACCGATCCACATCTAGACTACCGCACTGTGCCGGATCAGCTGATTGTCGGCACAGCACGGCAGCCATGTTTATTTTAATGAAGCAGGGATTATTTAAATCTCCACTTCTTTGCCTATGCTGGGTAAACTAGTTTACATGGCTCCGTCGACGGAGCCATGTAGTCTAGACATAGCTTAAGGCTACATCTACACTACGAGGCTTTTGTGCAAAAACCTGCGAGCGTCCATACCTCAAATGAGCTCTTACGCAATTAAATGGGCAGTTAAATGGCAGAAGAGAAGGCTTTTTCCGCCGTAGGTAAACCTCCTTTTCTGAGGCATAACTACTTTTAGCACTACAGCCAGGGCTCGACAAATCATGTAATCTACTCACCCATGGCGAGTAGATTACAAGCCAGCACAGCCAGCGTTGCGCGATCTGCACATGCGCAGCTCACAGAACCACGTGGCTGGCGAGCGGGGCTTGCTGCTGCTTGGCGAGCCCTGGCTACAGCTATTGCGCAAGAAGGAAAGTGTGGATGCTCCAGAGGGAAAAAGCATAGGTGCTCTGATGGCCATTCTGGGTGTATCTAGACTACAGAGTTTTGAATTCAGTTTTGAGTCGGCAGAACTCAGCAGTTTTGTTGATGGCTGTAAACCTCATTCTACGAGGAATAACGCCTTTTATCTACAAAGTTCTGTTGACAGAAGGCATTATTACATCTACACTGTCCTTTGCATCTACACTGTCATGTCAACAAAGCGGCTTGCTTTGCCGACAGAACTGGATGTAGTCTAGACACTCTTTGATGACAGAAGCTTTGTCGACAGTATCGGTCAACAAAACTTCTGTCGACAAAAGCCTGTAGTCTAGACGTACCCTCTGTGGATACTCTCTTGTGCAAAAGCACATTGCTTCTGCGATGTGCTTTGAGGTGTGGACATGCTCTTGCACAGGAAGTTTTTGTGCAAAAACTCTTGAGAAATGTTTGCCACATTTGTGCTTTTTTTTTTTAAAGGGGGGGGGGGAAATTTAATGCTTGTTGAAAGTACCAGACTGAGTGGCCTAGAGACTATTGGCCTGAATTTAGACACAGAACAGGTACATAGGTTGTGGCAGGTTAAGCTCCTTTAGCTCTGGTTTGGAGGGGACATGGGTCTGTAATTTAATATGTATGTATTTATGATATATTGGGAAGAAGAAATGCAAATCTGTTCTGTTAAATATGGTGCTATTGGAATGAAAAGACATTGCCTTATCATAAGTAGGATTTGACAAGCTGGGAATCATTATGTAGAATTTAATTTTAACAGTGATTTAAAAGAGAAGAAAGAATCTCAGCAACATGGGATACGCACAGCAGAGAAACTACTGAAAGAGTTTTATCCTCACTCACAAGAGGGACAAAATCAGATGAAGATGTTACAGAACTGCTGTTTGATGGCCACAAAGGACAAACTTAATGTGGAGAAAGCTCTCAGTGTATTTGTAGAAATGGCTCAAAATGAGGTAAGTAAATTCTTCAAATCATCTTAGGTTCTCCTCTGTTGTAAAATACTAATATATAACATGCTTTTTATTAGAAATGTTTTCAGTTGAATAACCACCCGTTTTCTCCTTAAATTTAAACTGCTAAGGGCTTCGAACTTAATAGTACAGCAAGGTGCTACTGTTTGAATGTGTAAAAGTCTCAGAGGGGTAGCCACGTTAGTCTGTAACTTTAAAAATGAGTAGTCCTGTGACACTTTAGAGACTAACCAAGTATCATGCACTTATGTGGGCAAAGCCCACTTCTTCAGATCAGATGATCTTGAGTAGGCTCCAGACCAGTGAGAATAAGAGGGGAGAGGAAGAAAAAAATGTTTAATTGTGTGTTATTTCGTTGTTAAAAGGCTTAGTAGGAGAGAAAAATGTAAGCTGTAACATCTGCAGGTTAGAAATAAAGCTGTAGAATGTTTGCTTAGCTTTCTTTTTATTGTGTGCTAAAATCATTGTACTTAGACTCAGAATGAACCTTTACAACAAATTCAATGGCTGAAATAATTGAAGTAACAGATTTTTTTCATTGACTTCAACAGAACCAGGATTTTATCCAGTGTTTAGAAAATACAATCAATTAAAAGATTGTGCTTTATTTGCAAATTGTGCAAAAATAGCTATTGTCACTCTTCATAAGTGTGCAGGTTGCACTTGCTTTTCAACACCTCATACTCAACAGCAAAGTTTTTAAAGCCAAAATGGAAATAAGTAGTACAGGTTGAATCTCTCTTGTCCAGGACTCACTGGTCCAGGAACATCCATGTCTTCCAGGACCATAGATGTTGCTAGACCAGAGAGCTCCGACCTCAGAGGTTGGGAGTGGCTGGGATGGATGGGCAGTAACCTGGCAGTAGAAAGCCCCGGAGCAGTTGCTGCCCAGCTGCTTCCAGGGTTCCGCAACCCCAGTCCCGCATGGCAGCAGCTGCTCCTGGGACTCTGTGTCTCCTCCCCCATGGGGGACCCCAGGAGCAGCAGCTGCCACTGTGAATGCAGAACTGGGCCGGGGAACCCAGGAGTAGCAGCTGTTGCTGCCCCACGTGCAGGGAACCCTGGGAATAGCAGCTGCTGCTTCGCGTGCAGGGCTGAGGAACCCTGGGAGCAGCAGCTGTTTCCAAACACACGGAGCCAGGGACAGGGAGCAGCAGACCCAGGCAGATGAGCCAGAGGCGGTTAAGCCTCTGGGTTCTCCCAGGGCAGCAGCCAGGAGGGGAGGCCAGGAAAGCCCAGACACATGTCCTCCCCTGGTTAGCAGATTCCCTTGTTCAAGACCACTCTGGTTCCAAGGAAGCTGGACCAGGGAGGGCCAACCTGTAGTAGATTATACATTGTACTTTCAACATAGTCTAGAGACAAGTCAGATTTAATACAAATTTCTTAATCTTATGGATGCAGGAGAGGATACTGGCTGTAAGAGGGAGTGCAGGGTCAGGGAAGGAATTGTGACCTGGGGGAGGAGGAGAGGGAGCATTCAGAGGGTTTGGATGGTGACCTAGGGCAGAAGAGGGTGATGACCGGGACAGGGAGTTGGGCTGCAGAAGGGGTTGAGGTGCCAGAAAGCAGGCTGTGGTCAGGAGGTGCTTATGTAGGCAGCTCTTAGCCAGCAGTCCTGCGGAACCCTGAAGCAGGTCACCCTGCCTGCTGTAGCCCCAGGCTGCTCAAAATGACTGGCTGTTCCTTATGGATCTCTGCTCTGAGTGCCGAGTGGGGGATAGTGGAGCCTTTGCATGCTACCCCCATCCATGTATGTCCCCCCTTCCCCCCCACACCACTAGAGCAGAGAGGTATGGGGAGCAGCCAGCCACTTGAAGCGGCATGTGGCTGCTCTGAAGTGGCTGGCTGCTCTGTGCCATGAGGATCCCAGTGAGGCGACCCATGGGCCAGATCCAGAAGCTTGAGGCGACCCATGGGCCGTATTTTGCCTGAACCTGGAATAAGAGGAATTCTTGATCAAACAGACAAACAAGACAAACTCTTTAAAATACATAATAGATATGCTTAATTGTAAACAAATGAATACACTTTTTAACTTATATATGATTATATGCATGCTTTAAGTTAAGCACAGGCATAAATGGGATGCTAAATAGGAGGTAAAATGTTTAGTCCCTGGTTTGACATAGTGTTTTGGATAGTCAAGTTGTGCTGTACTCTAGCATACTGACAAGACTCAGTTCCAAGGGACTGCATCATTGAAGTTGCGTGTTTGCTACCATGGCCTCCTAGAATATGGAATATTTTCTTCTGAATATTTTCTATACTCATGTTTAAGAAAAAACAAAAACCTCTTATTTTTCAAAGGTTGTTTTTATTGTGGCCATTGTTGGCTTTCATATGTGGAACATGGCCCTTTTTCCTTCTTAGTTTTCTGTTTTTGAGTTTATTGTTTTGTTTGTTTTTAATTATATTTTTGTTTTTTGCACTTTGCATAGTACTTTATTATTGTAGCATTCTGAGTGCTTTCATGGGAGCATTTTTCATAAAGATATTAGAATGTCATAGTTAAATTTCAGAGGGGTAGCCGAGTTCGTCTGTAACAGGAAAAACTTAAAAAACAATAAATAGTGTGGTAGCACTTTAAAGAAAATCTCAGGGGGTAGCTGTGTTAGTCTGTAACTTTAAAACAGTGAGTAGTCCTGTGGCACCTTAGAGACACTCTCTATATATATTTGTGACCAAAGTGCCACAGGGCTCTTATAGTTACATTTGTTTTTATAGTTACATTTGGGAGTTTGTTTTTAACAGGTCCCTTAACACCCAAAATACCACTATCCCGTGTCCCCAGTTCTACAATAGGATCCAAATAGGAGGATCGTTTGTGTGGTTGTAGTTCCATTCATTAACTTCATGTTCTTATCATAGTAAGATACCTAGCTCTTATATAATACTTTTATTTGTAGATTTATCTACAATGTGTGATCATAATGGTCTGTCTCAATGGATTTAATTGAAAGATTGGTTCATTAGAATGTCATCTCTGTTTATGATAGACTAATGTAAAGGGAAATACTGTTTATTAACAACTATGTCTTTTAATAAAGCAAATGACATTTGGTTAACAATGAAAGTAGTTAAATTTTAGAGTTTGACAGTAAAACCAGTAATGTTACTAGACCATGAAAAGAGCTTGATATTTAAATAATAATATTTCTGCTTTTATTTCTTAGAGGGAAAGTGTTCCAGCTATTTTGGCAATGGCCCAAGCCTACATGATTCTGAAACAGATTCCCAAGGCGAGAACTCAGCTAAAAAGATTAGCCAAATCAAACTGGAATTTATCTGATGCTGAAGAATTAGAAAAAAGTTGGATGTTATTGTCTGATATATACTGCAAAAGTGGAAAGTATGATCTTGCAACTGAGCAACTGAAACGCTGTTTACAATACAATAAGGTGAGAAAGAAAGGAGATGTATACAAAGAAATCTTAAAAGGTGGAAAAACATTGTGACCTGTTAGAGATTTGAACACATATTGGGTTTTTCATTAATAACCTTTTACAATAATCTACGAAAGTAACAGCTATAATCAGCAGCTGTAATTTGGAACCAGATTTATAATAAAATTGGATAGTGGATATTAAGAATCACTAATTTAATGGCAAAATCTTCATCCCATTGAAATTGGTGAGAGTTTCATTATTGATTTTACTATTGTGACCTTAAAAAAACAAAACAAAAGCAGCACCGTAAGGTTGCAAATTTTAAACCATGAAAAGCCAGAAAATGCAAAACATAAATGCAACGTTAACTTGGTCATATAGATATGAAAAGTCCTGGGCGCCGCCATTTTTAAATGCCCCGTAGTTCGAACTACCTGCCCGCAGCTACACGCAGCATGGACAAGGTAGTTCGTATTAAAGCTCCTAATTCGAACTATCATTAAACCTCCTTGCAGGAGGAATAATAGTAGTTCAAATTAGGAATTTTAATTCAAACTACCTAGTCCGTGCCGCGTGTAGCCGCGGGCAGGTAGTTCGAACTATGGGGCATTTAAAAATGGCGCTTTTCTGGGCTGCAGCTCATTGAAATGCTTGATTACTATATTTCCAAGCTAATTCATAATTAGCTGCAGCCCACAAAAGCTTATGCCCTAATACATTTGTTAGTCTTCAAGGTGCCACAGGACTCCTTGTTGTTTTTTCTGAAACAGACTAACTTCTCTGAAAAATGGTCACATTGTGCATTCTGGGCACGTCTACAGTACGCGGAATATCAAAGCTGCCTCAGTCGAGCCTCCAGAGTTTGGTTTAGTGGGTCTAATGAAGACCTGCTAACTCGAACTCAGAAGGTGTCTCTGTCAGTGCCAATGCTCCTGCTTCTCACAAAGTAATGGAAGACGACAGGAGCATCTGAGAAACTCAGTTTAAGATATGTCGACTTCAGCTACGTAATTAATGTATTTGAAATTGTGCTTCTTAATATGACCTTCTGCTATAGTGTAGACCAGGCCTCCATGTTTTCGTACATATCTTATTATTTTCTAAAGGATAAAACCTCAAACTATACATTTAACAAGAAAACTAGATTCAGGAAACAGTGCCATTTTCCATTTATATTTAAATGGAGAATATAATTTGAGGCCTGGATTTACAATCTTGATCACAATTTAAATTCACTAAAATAAGAAAGCTCAGTGCTCTTATGACATTTAGGCTATGTATTCTCAATAATGATGTAGCATTTTGTGGTTTGTTTGTTTTTAAGTCTTGTTCAAAAGCTTATGAATATATGGGTTTTATCATGGAGAAGGAACAGGCCTATAAGGATGCTGCAGCTAATTATGAATTAGCTTGGAAATACGGTAATCAAGCAAATCCTGCTGTTGGTGAGTTCACAAAATACTTTTCTACTTCAAGTTCTACCTCAGTATCATCCAGCACATTTACTCCTCCGAATGTAACAAATTGTGATGATATAATAGGTGCTTCTGCCCCCAGTTGCACTTACGCAAGGAAACTGAAGATAATTGTGTTACAGACACATAACTTATGGCAGTATTTAATCTAGTATGCTGCTAAGAGCTTATTAACAGCTAATGATAATATTGCATAATATTGTAAGAAAAGTGAAAATCTGGAGAAAAGCCAAGTACAAAATAGTTGCATGTAGAGGGAGAAATGAATGAAGAATGACCACAGAGGGGCAGCAAAGGGCTGGAGACAGGACACGGACAGCTATAACCCCATTGGGGCAGCAGGGGGTAAGGGTGGAGAAAGAGACAGCTATCTTCTATACATTTCAGAGAGATTGTGTATCTGTCTGTCTCCCAGCTGAGGGACATGCATCCCTTCCCTGGCTATGCCCGCTGCGGTGGCCATGGACACATGCTTCTTTCCTGGCTTCATGTTGCTGCAGTAAGAGGGGGCGGGGGTTGTTCTCTCTCCCGGGACATCTTGTATACTGAATCTCTCACCTCCATCCCAAAACAATAATTTAAATGAAGAAAAACAAAACTTATTTGATTAAGGACCTGAGCAATGCCAGATAAATCTAGTTATACCATATTTTAATATTAATTCATTAGAGTTATTTGCCTGAACTGCTGTTTAATAAATGTTAAGTCTTAAGACTATATGTAGTTGTGTGTTCCAATACAATGAAATCACATTATCTTTTTCATCCCTTCTGCAGGTTTCAAACTTGCTTTCAATTACCTGAAAGATAAGAAATATGTGGAGGCAATAGAAGTTTGTCATGATGTAAGTTCTACATAAAACTTTAATTAGACTATGAAATGAATAACGACTCATTTATTGACTGTCCTTTTTTTTTTTTACACTAGGTTTTGAAGATATACCCAAGTTACCCAAAAATAAGAGAAGAGATTTTGGAAAGGGCGCAAGCAGCTCTTAAACCCTAGAAATAAAAATCTTCATAAGATGAAATTCCGTGCTATCAGAAATATGTCAATGAGCACTAGAAATAAAACATATTTAAAGTAAAGATTATTATGCATTTTAGACTTTTCTAATTCATACAAAACTCAGCCTTGCCTCTTTGGAGAGAGTATGCTGCTAAAAACTCATGTGGAAATAAACAAATACTAAGGCTGAGGCAAGGCCATTAAACTGTGTATATGGGCTGACAAAGGAGAATTGTAAATTCAGCGAAGGAATCTATGCTCTTTGTCTTCATTATTTACAGGATTCAGTTTAAAAAAAAACAGAGTGAATATGATTCTCATTTTTAATAAGGCCCTTTCTTTCATTCCATCAGAGTGAAGGAGCCTTATAGTGAGAGTAAACTATATTTACATTCACTTTAAGGCCCTTTACCCTGCCAGAGTAGTGTAAAGAATCTTTACTGCAAACTAGGGGCCCATGCCCTCCACTCGCTATGCTCGCCAGCCCCCAAAGCTTAACTGACCAAGTAGGCCAGCTGGCAGTAGGGATGTTAAATTTCGATTAATCAGCTAATCGACTAGAGAGGGATCACGTAATGATTATCTGTTGTGTTCACTCCATCTGGAGCATCTGGCATTAGTCACTGTTCGAAGGCTAGATAGACCTTTGATCTGACCCAGTATGGCCATTCTTATGTTCTTATCCTTTTTCCTGGAGCTCGTCTGCCTCCACTCCCAACTCAAGAGAAAATCTGTCCTGGGTTTTCATAGCAATCAACTCTGCTATATCACAGTCGAGTAGGAAATTGACTCTTTCTTTATTTGGGATTTGCTAAGCGCCTGACAGGTGGCTCCCTGCTGCTGAAGTTCACTGGAAGTTTGATGAAGTGTTTCTCATGGTAGAATTGCATAACTACCAAGCTCTCCCACCTCGCCCCCGGGCTCTGCTCACAACATAGGCAATGAATGGCATCATCAAACTTTCCTGTGTGTGTACATGTGACTGGGGCAGGAAAGGACTCACGTGGTGTCCCCTATGGCGTCACTGCCCAGCACGGGGGGAACAGAGGCACATCATTGACCAGTTTCCAGCCTGCCTCTTGGCTCGCACTCCTGAAATGTCCTAATTGTACCGTGACACGAACAGTGAGACGTGTTTCTCAGTGTCCCAAAGCACTGCCCCCTTGGGGAGCGGGGATATTGTACCCATTTTTCAGCTGCAGATTGCCCTTTCCCTTTCCCCCTTTGTCTGCCTCTTCTTGCTTTCCTCCCTTGTTCTTCCACTTTTCCTTCCCTTATTTGCTTCTCTCCCCTTCCTTTCTTGCCTGTCCCCTCCTTGATTTATTTTCCTCTTCTTCCATTCCCTTGGTTTCTCCTCCTCCCTTGTCCCCTCTTCCCTGCTGATCCATCTTGCAGGTGGCTTCCCAGCTGTGTGAGCCACAGCTGGTGAGCTGGGCTGACTTGGGCTGGGGGGCGGGTTGCTTTCAGCTGGGGGAGGGGAAAGGGAAACAGCAGCATACAGAGCTGGCAAGCCAGATCTGGCGGAGAAGCTTGGGGCTTTCCCCGCCCTCACCCCACAGGAAAATGATGGTGGAGCTCCAATCTTGCAGGGGGCTGAAGTGGTGAGGGAGGGAGCTGCCAGCAGGGCGAACGGGGAGCTCACCACATCCTGCCGCTGTGGACCATGCTGCCCATGGGGCTCCTTCGGCTTTGGCTCCGCCTACCCCCGCCCCCATCCTGTTGACACTGACATGATTATGTCACTTTGGGTATGTCTACACTACCACCCTAGTTCGAACGAGGGTGGTTAATGTAGGCAACCGAAGTTGCAAATGAAGCCCGGGATTTGAATTTCCCGGGCTTCATTTGCATCTTGCCGGGCGCCGCCATTTTTAAATCCCCGCTAGTTCGGACTCCGTGCCCATGGCTACATGCGGCACGGACTAGGTAGTTCGGATTAGGCTTCCTTTTCCGAACTACTGGTACACCTCGTTCCATGAGGCGCAACGGTAGTTCGGAATAGGAAGCCTAATCCGAACTACTTCCGAACTACCAGTACACCTCGTTCCACGAGTCTGAACTAGCGGGGATTTAAAAATGGCGGCACCCGGCAAGATGCAAATGAAGCCTGGGAAATTCAAATCCCGGGCTTCATTTGCAACTTCGGTTGCCTACATTAACCACCCTACTTCGAACTAGGGTGGTAGTGTAGACATACCCTTTGTCATCCCACAGGAAAAAAAATTATATATAGAAGTGAGAGACAGGCTCAATATATTTAATTTACAATATATTATAGTGCTTTCAAAATTATTTTAAGAACAGAGTTTAGAGAAGTTTTGAAGGTTCTCTGTGAGACTCACTTGGGGTATGTCTACACTACCCCGCTAGTTCGAACTAGCGGGGTAATGTAGGCATACCGCACTTGCAAATGAAGCCCGGGATTTGAATTTCCCGGGCTTCATTCGCATAAGCGGGGAGCCGCCATTTTTAAAACCCCGCTGGTTCGAACCCCGTGCAGCGCGGCTACACGGGGCTCGAACTAGGTAGTTCGGACTAGGATTCCTATTCCGAACTACCGGTACACCTCGTTCCTCATTTTATATTGAGATGTTTTCAGTGATTATCGCAGTGGGATCTGAGCTTTCGCAAGGTCTAAGGGTATTCGGATCCAAGGTTTTGGTTTGAAGTTATCTCTAATTTTAGATTAAGTACCCATACCAATACACTATATCTGCTAAGAAATTTATGTAATTGACAAAAAATGGTTCACAAAGTTGGTAAACTCCAACTAAGAATTATGTGTTGAATTATACACAATAAGTACAATGAAGTTATTCTTCATGCACATTGTAAAAGTCATGTAAATATAGTCTAGTACCGTGGTGTCGCAGTAGTGTCATGGTGATTCCTATAGTGAACTAGCCACATTATTCTGAAATAATGAATAATTGTTCAAGCCAACTAGCCACACGCAACCAGTCAAATAGCCACTAGTGGCTAGTGTGTTGGACACTATGGGTCTATTAAATGCATAGGACTTTGTGGCAAGTACAAATATAAAAACTACAATATATATATCAGGAAGTTAATACAGGTTGAACCTCCCTGGTCCTACACTCTGGGGACCAGAATGGTCCCAAACAAGGGAATGAGCCAGACCATGGGAGGTTAGGCATCCAGGATTTCCCAGGGTTTCCATCCTGGCTGCTGCCCTGGGAGAACCTGGAGACCTGACCTCCTCCGGCTCACCTGCCTGGGTCTGCTGCACCCAGCCCACTCTTGGGGCTCTGCTTCCTGCCTCTGGTCCCATGCAGTGGCCACAGCTGCTCCCGGGGTTCCCTGGCTTGTGCGCACAGTGGTGGCAGCTGTTCCCAGGGTTCCCCCATCCCACGCGTGGCAACAGCAGCTGCTCCTGGGATTCCCTGTGTAGGACAGGGACAGGGAGCCCTGGAGCAGCTGCTGCCATGTGGAGCCGGGGTTGGGGAACCCCTGGAGAAGCTACCACTATATGTGAGGTTCAGGTTGGGGAACCCCGGAAGCAGATAGGCAGCAACTGTTGCCGGGGCTCTCTACCTCTGGTCATTACCTCTGGAGTCTGCTGCCAACTATACTGGCTCGCTCCCAGCTGCTCTCAACCTCTGCGGCTGCAGCAATCTGGTCTAGTAACATCTGTGGTCCTGCTGGACCAGATAGTCCTGGATGAGAGAGGTTCAATCTGTATATCTACAGTATACAAGATGAATGAACTTCAACTTTGGCTTTGTGAATCTTTGTAAACAAATTGTTCAAGACTTACAAAATCTCAAACTCTATTGTTTTCACCCTGGGCTAGTATTTACAGTATATTATAAGTTGTCTTCTATATTTTGGTGAGCAAAATTTGACAGCATGAAACTTGTGCTGTCCTAGAAATATACTTTTTATATTCCTGGTCACAAATTAGGCACTAGTAAAGTAGAAACATGATCCAGAAAATCAATTCCAGCACTGGTGGAACAGAACACTCTAATTATTTAGTTCTCTGTTGATGTCTAGAAAAAGTTACTAGTTCTTCAATGAAAAATCATCTTCCTTAGGCTACATTTTGTATGTCATAATAGCGAGGTAGCAAGCTAAGGCTACTGCTTCCTATGCAAAGTGTTCTTCTTTTACTTTTCTTTTTCAACCACACTCATCCTATTTGAGTTTCATCCACATGCTGCATTGGGAGCTCTTTGGTGCCTGAACTACGTTCTTTCTACTTATTTTTTACAGCAATTAGTCCCGTGGAGCTGAGGTCTCTGGAGCCCATAGGCTTTACCAAAATACACTGCAATACAAATAAATGGTCTTTCACATTCCTCCTCAGCCCCTTCATTCCATGCTTTTTTTTCTTTTTCCCATTATTTATTTTATAACGTCTTCCATGCAACCCATGGAGCAAATTTCCTAGTGCACTAGCTTCACCCCCCTCTCTTCATTCACATGCCTTCTCAAGAGTCATATTTTTCTCAAGGCCAAAAAATATAGCACAAAATAAAAATCAGATAATCCTTGAAGAGTTCCACCCTAGAACATCCTAAACAGAGGAGTGCTGCATAGAGCTGTAGTTCATTATTGGTGTAATTTATTTCTCCTTTGACATTACATCCCCACTCTGGCCAACATCAGGGAAACTCTATTGCCTCCCTCCCGGCCCCGGATCCCTTAAAGGGGCACGGGCTGGCTACAGTGCCAGGTGCAAGCCTGCCAGCACCCAGCCAGCACACCT